AATGACAAACACAAAGACACACCCACAGCACACAACCACAACGCACAACCACAGCACACAACCACAAAGACTTAACCACAAACACAAACACACAACCACTAACACACACACACAACCACCAACATCCCAGACAATATGGCAAGTAGAATTTGAGAGTATTTTCGAGATAGAATGTCACAATATATGTCTAAGAACATATTTCTGTTGCGTGTCCTGTACACCTCTTCTTCCTTTGCCTTTACCGGACCAGACACCTGACTGGCGGCGCGCCGCTTTATTGCAAGAATGTCAGTCACATCTGACAAGCAGCAGAATGTGCCAGAAAGAATGCCGAAATAATGTCTCAATACACGCCAGAAAAATGGTCGGATTGAAATGTCATGGTGGGGACCACTCGAAGTGAAGTAGTTCTTTTCATTCTTATTTATACTTTGATATAGGCACCGTAAGGTTAACACGGTGAGGATTTCGCGGAACAACAGGGTGGCAAAAGTGGGTGGCGGAATTTGGTCAGAAGCAAAAGTTGCCGGCAAAGTTCAATGCAAAGCCCAAAAAGGGCGGCAAAAGTGGGTGGCAAAGGTTCATCTGATGGCCAAAAGTGGTGGCAAAAGTCGCCGGCAAGATTTGATGCAAGACCCAAAAGGGCGGCAACGGTTCATGTGGGTTTTCTCACAACTTTGCCGTGGTGTTGTCTTCTCAAAAAAACTTGCCGGGGGGGGTTGCCAAGCGTTTTGGGCATTTTCAGCGTTTGCCGGGGGGGTATGCAAGGGGTTTTGCTACTTTCGGACCAGAAATGTCAAAAGCCGTGTTAACCTTATGGTGCCTTCGTCAATTTATACTGATGTAAAAACTGGACTGAGATGGGTCTTGGACCGTCATTTTTGTGGATTAGGAGCAACTTTCGATCTCGAACAGTGTCTCCGAGAATCCATTGGTAGTTTCCAGACGCCATGATGACTATCTGGAGTCAAAGGCCTTGGCATGGTCAGACCTTTCATTACTAGTAGGTTCTTGTTCCTAGGTAATAATGCCAGGAGCTACTAGTAGTTTCTTGTCACTAGTAGCGATGGCCTCCAACCTACTTGCGATAGCCTCCACCTAAATAGCGTCCTTGTTACTAGTAGCTCTCATGCCAATGTCGAAACAATGCGCCTCACCTCTCATGCCGAAAGACTACCGCCCGTTGCCGCGTGACACGTGCGCGACAGCTCGCAGCGCGACATGCGACGACCTTTGAGGTGTTTTTCGCATTTTTTATGCGCTTCAATGCAGACATCGTCTTCAAACGGGATATGCTCATCGCGATTCAGATGCGCGGGAGCCCAGCCTGTTGGCCAGCCTGTCTGGGAACTGAAGAAAAACACCTTACGTTGTCATTTGATTCTGCCCTTCACTTCAAAAAGTAGGAGGGTTCGTTCCCAAATCTGATATGGAGAAACCTTTTGAGTCAGACCTCTTGGGCGCCACGTTGAGCAAACTCAGCATCGAGACGCAATTGCAACGTGACTGAGAAGGTACATCGTCACACCACTGAAGAAGAGCAACTTCTTTGCAAAGGCCAAGAGAAAGTCCGAAGCCCGCACCTTGTTTGGCAAGAAGTGCCTCTATTAGGATGGAGGCCATCCCTAGTAGGTTGGAGGCCATCGCTATTAGAATGGAGGCCATATAGTATGTATACCTCTCCTCATCAAGTCATCAAGTCAGCTTGTTCGATCAATGCAGCGCTGCTTGAGTTCTGAGGTAAAGCAGTGACCATCACGAGAAGCCAACTGGGAATGAGCCACAGCTTCTCGAAGTACCGCGAGTTGGGAATGGCACCCTGGCGGGCAACATTGAACAGAACATGAGTATACACAACATTGATTTACCAAATTGGTGTCACTTTTGTTTTGTGTGTCGTGGAGTTTGGACCTCATACCTTTGCAGTTCTGTGTTCATGTCCGATGTCATACCTTTGCTGTTCGCTTCAGGTCTTCCGAGTGGACGAGAGCCAAATCGTGCACCTCGCAGGTCTCACAAAGGACTCTCCTCTTCGTGGCAAGGCGGATCAGCGCGGAGCAGCGTTCAGTGCTGGCGGATCTTCGTTCGGAAAACGATGTGGAACAAAACCTGTTCGCATTGTGTTTGCGAAACTTTGTTTTTGGGACTGCGTTTTTGGCCTTTGGTGGTTGTTCAAGAGGGGTTTTACTTGAACTGACATTCCTGGCTGTTTTTCGTTTTGGGTTTTTTAAGCATTGTCTGAGAGAGGGGTCGCATATAGGAGGTCGAGAGCCTTGCCTGAGCAGCTTCCCACTAAAGGTTGCATCTAAATGTCGGATAAATGTTGTGTTTCCAGTTTTGGGGTACCTTGGGTGATCCATTTTCTTGAATGATGTTCTTGACACTGCATGTATTTGCAACCTTTGCTGTGTTCCTGTGCACATGTCATGTTGGACTAGTGCTACCGAAAATACCACATGCCTTTGGTGGTACACCAGCACAGCAACAACCAGCATCTACTTGTAGAATCTAGAGCTTGGTAGTTTCAGACCTCATTGTACTGCCTTGAAGCTTTTATATCAGAGCCTGTCCCCAAGAACTACACGTTACAGGAGATGTGCGTGCTAAGCTGCTAAGCAGCACAGTCGTTGAGGAATTGAACTTGTCCAGGTGGTCCCCGGCTGGAAAGTGAACACGATCAACGGACGCAGGCTGAAGGCTTGACACATTGTGCTGAAGGGAGGTGTGCTGGTTGAGGGAATAAGTACCATTAACCATTATAATCATCCATAATCTAAGCTGGGTGAAGGGAGATCATTTACAGCCTCACTAGCAAGTGATGTCGGATCACAACCCGGACATGTACAATGAAGAGGATGACGCCTTGCTATAGTTGAGTTTCCCTAAAAATCTAGGAACCAAATCATTTAGTGGAAGCATGAGCTATCCTGCGTCCTACCTAGAAGCTAATTTAGTTTGGTAGCTTACTAGTCCCTCACTCAATTCAGTAGGCAGGGGGGAGCGGGCTTTGAAAAAGACGCTAGCGTCGCGACATGTGTATTTGTTCGTCTTGCCGCTCAGGTCCGGAAAGAGGGCGAGGTGCAAGAGATTATCCAAAGGTCTAGTACTGAGAATTCAAAGGTCTAGACGATGCCAGATGTATCCCTTCCTTCGATGCCGATGCCAGATGTCGAGTTCCTGAAACCAACAAAAGAAGCTGTTCTCGAGATTCCCACTTGCATGTTGCTACATTTGCTTTTCACTAGTGCCGAGGTCCAACTTCCCCCTGCGTCTCACGTTCTCGGCACCCTTAAAGTCCAAAGAGCAAGAGAAGCAGGACCAACGGACTAGGACGCCATCGCTATTAGGTTGGAGGCCATCGCTAGTAGGTTCCTTTTGCTATTAGGTTGGAGAGCGATGTGATGGCTTGGAGTGGGACGGCGTCGCTGAGTGATGCTGTTACGGCATTTCTGCCAAACACTGTGGAGCTGCAGGAAGCCGACGGCAAGAGCGTGGATGGGGTGAATTTCGAGGACGACCGGAAGATGGTTGTGGTAATGCTGGGTGTAGCTCGGAGTGAATTTTGGAGGGGTCCAGTTTCTTTAGGTAGCGAGTCGGTGCCTGCAACTTTCCTCACTGAATTGAGGGTCTTCTCCTTTTTTTGGAGGTAGGGGTAGAAGATGTGTTATTTTTTGTGTAAATGATATGGTACGTAGCTGTATAGTCTACAAGTTGTATATGGTTGCAGAGTGCTCCGACCCGAACTCCCTCTGCCGGGCCATTTGATGGCCCTTCGACCGATCTCAACGGGTGCCCGCACCAACACCACCCCAGTGTCTGGCGAGGTGTTGACGTCCTTCACGAAGGTCTCGGGCTTCGACTTCCAATGGCCAGACGCCTTCACCGAGTTGGTGAACTGGGTTTGAACTGGGTTGAAACTGTGGAGGACTGTGACGACATTTTCTCAATCTGAATCACTGGTCTTCAGAAATACTGCCACGACTGACAGCTAATTATGTACTGCAAAGAGCGCAAAGGTGGTTCGCCTCATCACCAATCGAACTCAAGAATGTTGCTACCTGTGGTTAATGGAGGTGTGAACCCATAAAGCATCTGGTGAATGCCTGGAACTCCGTGCATTGAATCACCGGTCCAACAAAAGAACGGAGGATTCTGGAGAGAAGATTTGGGTTTTGATCTCATTTCACCAACCCTGGTCGAACTCGGTCTGTTTTTGTGAATATTAGACCATCGAAGATTCACCTCTTTGAACTGGGGGTTTGGAGGATCTCATTTGAAAGACGATTTTTTCTATAGTAGCGTCCTTGTTCCTAGTAGTAATGCCAGGAGCCCCGTTCGTAGCGTCCTTGCTCCTAGTAGCGATGCCAGGAGCCCCTAGCAGCTTCTTGTTCCTTCAACCGAGGTAAAGATTGCTCAGATGTTTTCCTTCAACCTAAACTTCTTCGCCCCGGAGTGCTCTGCCGAGACGCCGTACATCACCAAGTGGATTGGGTACTTGGCCACTTGGGACATGTTTTTCGTGTCGCAGCCATTTAATGGCCGGGTGCAATTTTCGATGAGGAGGGTCTACTGAAGGGGAAATGGCAATTTCCAATTCATGAGACATGGCCTCCCCCCTACTAGCGATGGGCTCCTACTTGCAAAGTGATATGATCTTCCCACCGATCTCCGGGCGCCTTCCGCTGGGAGAAGGGAAGAATGCTGGACTTTGCTGAGTCGAGTTGTGGCCTTGACCTCTGTTTGAGGAAAGACCAAAGGAAGAAAACAGGGCAGATCAGGATCAGGGCAGAGTTAACATAAGCCATGCCATTTTCGTAGAGTTAGCATAATAAGTGTTTCGATTTTGGCGTCGCGTGTCAGGTCTTGCCGTATTTCATGATCATGCCCTTGACGGCTGCCTACCTCATGGCATGTATGGCCACATTACCGGGCTTGGGCCCCGAGGCGCTCGAAATTCGAAGACATCGTGGGGGAAGGAAGGAAACGGGGTAGATACGGTAGATGGCACATGTTTATCAAAAAAGAATAAAAAGATACTTAAAGATGTGTTTGATAGAATAGGACATGGTACATGAGAATTTGTCAAGGGTTGAGGTCAAGGCCTTATGGCTATGATCTAGTGAAGTATCTGTTCATTCCAGCCGAAGAAAAGAGGTGCTCAAGAGTTTCGCATGGTAGCGGAGCTGGACCGCTTAACCAACCAGCAGCCATGGCATGAGGGCTAGGAGGACACCGATTCCCCAGCCCTTAGAGCGAGAGCGCTCAGCCGGAGTTGTCGTGCTCGGTGAAGCACGGTGGGTACATTGGCGTTGGATTGGGCTGCAAACGTTGATTGCATTGGTTGTGTTGGTTGGGATTGTTTTCAGTCTTGACTATTTGGTCATGGCGACCGATGGTGCACAGCCAGATCTTGCAGCCTTGACTTCGGCCTTACAACAGATGCTTCAGGAGCAGCAACAGCAGAGAGCCCAGATCGAGTCATTGAGCCAAGCAGTTCAGGGTACTGGGTCGGCAGTTCAAGCTACACAGGCTGTTACAGAGCAGGTTGTGACGGAGGTGGTATCTCAGGTGCAAGCGGGATTTCATCATGAGCAGCAACAGAGTCAGGAGCAGTTGACCCAAGTTGGAACTATCTTGACAACATTGCAGGATCAGATGCAACAGATGGGACAAGCGATCCAACAGGTACAACAGCAACAAGCTCAGTTGGCGACAGGTTTGAGTCCCGCTCCAAATCCTCCGGCATCACAAGGTCAACAGACCCCAGCAAGAGGTGGTTCACCCGTGCATCTACCCCCTCCTATGCAAGCCGGTGTGCCTGCAGCCGGGTCACAGGTTGCTGGAGGGATGACGGGGGCATCGGCATCTGGGTTGGGAGGACCTCAAGTGTTCAACATTGGAGGTCCGAGTTCCGGGAGCATCAGGACCAGTCCGGCTGTTGCGTATGCAATTCAACAAGGTGGAGTTGATAGTAAACAGTTGGGCAAGCCGGGAGTGTTCAATCCAACGGATGGGAGAAGTAGTTTTTTGGATTGGGCGGATAGCATCATTACATTGAGCGATTCAAACATGCCTGGTATCTATGAAGTGTTGGAATGGATTGCAACATCACAACAGAAGACAACCATGACACAGGGTGATGTTTTGTTGCATTTTCCGCACTTGGACCCATTGTTGGTACAGTATGCAGATACAAATGTTTACGCCATGCTGACCACGTACACATTGGGTGAGGCCAGGAGTTTGGTTCGACAAGCCAGGAGGCCCAACGGTTTTGAGGCATTCAGGTTGCTTCAGATTCGGTTCAACCCGGTCACCATTGGCCGTCAAAGAGCTGATCTTATGAAGATCACCAACCCGGCAGCAGCGATCAGCATTGACAAGTTGGCGGCTGAGTTGGTGAATTGGGAGAACCTGATCGTGCAGTATGAGTCGAGGCCAGGAGCCGATCGTGTTTCTGATGCTATGAAGATGGCTGCATTAGTTCACATGGTTCCGAATGCCTTGAAGCAACACTTGCATATGAACGCCGCAAGATACACCACATACCTTGAACTTCGTGAGGAGGTCATGAGTTACGTTGAGCAGGTGGCACCAGTGGCGTCGACAACAATGGATGTTGGGTCGGTTGGTGTCAGCAAGGGAGGTGGTTGTTACATTTGTGGAGGTCCTCATATGCAGAAGGATTGCAAGAAGGGCAAAGGCAAAGGAGGTAAGGATGGAGGAAAGGGGAAGGGCAAGATCCCCGACGGTGGCAAGGGCAAAGGAAAAGGCAAAGGCTTTGAAGGGAAGAAAGGTGGAGGAAAAGCCAAGCCGGTCTGCCACAATTGTGGCAAGACAGGCCACTACAAGGATCAGTGTTGGAGCCGTCCCAAGCCCTTGAACACAGTTGAGAAGGAGACCTCGCCTTTGTTGTCACAATTGCAGTCGAGCTATGCCAAGGCTGCTGTGGAGGAGTTTCAGCGGTTGAGATCGACAGGAGCATCGTCGTCCTCAGCACCCAGTCCGCCCGTTGTTCAAATCTCCACTCCATCGTCCCCGACATCGCCAGGTGCAGCATCCAGTGCATTGCCAAAGCCTCCAGTGAGCACCGGTAGTTTGACCATCAAACACTTGTGTGCATTGAGCAGGGCACAGGCCATTGCAAGGCGCATTGTGGCTGATGCAGAGCAGGGACGTTTTGATGAGATGGAGCGTCGCATTGAGCAATATCTTCAAGGTGCATGTCCGTTGACGGTGACGGTTGATTCAGGAGCTGCAGCGTCGGTTGCCCCAGCAGAAGCTTTTGCAGAGCATGAGCAGTTGGCCCCAGTTGACGGTGTGAGTTTCTTGAGTGCAAATGGAGAGATTGTTCCAGAGTTGTATCGAGTGAAGCCCCTCATCGTAACAGAGGAAGGAAAGGTGAGAGGGACAGAGTTCAGCATTGCTCAGGTACACAAGGTCCTCATGTCGGCTGCTCAGGTTGCCAATCGTGGTCATCGGATTTTGTTGGCACCCTATTGGGAGGACAGTTGGATTGAGGAAATTGAGACAGGAGAGCGAATGCAGTTACACCAGGAAGAAGGTGTCTATGTGCAGAGGATGCACGTCGTGCATCCATCACGTGAGGGTTTCAGCGGGCCGGCGCCGTGGATTGTGCCTCCGGCGATCTAGAGGTGAGTCCAGCACATGCTGTAAGTCCTGATCGGTCGTTCTTCATTCATGCAGTGAACGCGGAGGAGGCCGAGGAGGAGACAACAGCGGCTCGTGATGAGGCCCATGAATTAGCAGTGCGTCCAAGTTCTGATGTTTATGGTGCAGGTCCTATGAGCTTGAACGTAGACACCAGTGACTATTTCCCAGAGGGCTGGGAGGACTATGAGGCACCCGCGGGAGGTGTCGATGAGGAGTTGCATGGAGAATTGAGTGGGGGTGAGGAGATCGAAAAGATCGCACAAAGCACACCCTTGAAGCCGAGTGCGCAGGAGGTGGATGAGCACAATGTTACTCATTTGCCATATAGGAGTTGGTGCAATCATTGTGTTAGAGGCCGTGGACGAGCACTAGCACATCAACGAGTGAGAGAGGATGCTGACGACAAAGCAAGGAGGAGGCCTCGGGTGAGCATGGACTACTTTTATCTTGGACGGCGGGAGGAGGAATGTTTGCCTCTTCTGGCGATCTTGGAGGAGAAGTCGCAAAGAACTTTTTCAGTGGCCATGCCGTGCAAAGGGGTTACAGATCATCAGTATCCAGTGACCATTGTTGTCAAGTTGCTTCGTTGTTTGGGCTTGCAAGATGCAGTGTTGAAGACCGACACCGAACGGTCTTTGGTGGCACTTCGCAATGAGGTTCAGGCGAGACTTCCCGGTGTTGGCTTTGAAGATGCTGTCAAAGGGGAGAGTGAGACCAATGGACCCATTGAGAATGCCGTGGGTAAGCTCCAAGGAATGTGTCGAACCTTGAAGTCAGCTTTGGAGGCTAACTATGGGGCCGCCATATCTTCTCGACATCCAATCTTGCCTTGGTTGATCGATTATGCTGGGACTTTGCTATCCAGGTTCAGTAGAGGACAAGATGGCAGAACTCCTTATGAAAGGTCATCAGGGAAACGGTGGCAGCTGAAGCTTCCTGCATTTGGGGAATGCGTTCTTTTTCAGAGGTTGAAAGGTGAACGGAATCCTGCCAAGATTGAGCCTCGTTTTGAAGATGGGGTGTATCTGGGTTTGCAAGAAGGCACAGCTTTGAAGTGGATTGGTACGGATCGAGGAGTTGAGCGAGCTTGGAGCGTGAAGCGGAGGCCCAGGGACGAGCAGTGGAAGAAGGAAGCATTGGAGTCTTTGGTTGGGTTGCCGTGGCAGTTGAAGCCACCAGTGACTGCAGATCCAGGACCCTTGCGACCGATAGAGATTGAGCTATCGGAGGAGCCGAAAATGCCCGAGCCGGTGGTGAAGTTGAAGGGTAGGGACTATGTGCCAAGAGGTCTCTACATTCGTCGTGACGTGGAGTTGCAGCAGTTCGGATACACTGAAGGGTGTGACGGTTGCTTGGCGGCTCAAAGTGGACTTGCTCATCGTCAACATAGCAGAGTTTGCAAGGCGAGGATTGCAAATGAGTTGAGCAAAACAGAGGATGGTAAGGCCAGAGTGGAACGAGTTCATGAACGTGCAGAAAGATACATTGTCGCTTATAAGAAGAGAGAGGATGAGAGGAAGCGCAAGCTTGATGACGACAAACTTGCAAAAGAAAAGAAGGCGACGTCGAGGAAATCAGCAGAGGAAGAGATCACAGAGCTTGATAAAATTCTTGGGCCATCGCCAGGTACTGAGTCTTCAGGTTTGCGGCCGCCAGATCAGAGTCCGGTCGAGTTGCTTCCAGGAGGACCACCCTCGCTTCATTTCCCTGGTCCATCAGCTGGACCGGTGGTGGAGGTGGGCGAGGGGCCTGTGGTGGTGGATGTGGAGGATCTTGATGAATCGATTGTCATGGACGTTGGATCACTTGATCGAAGCCAAGAATTTGAGCTTGTGAGAAGAGAGGTCAGTCTTGATGAGACAGCAGAGCTCATGCTTGACGAGGAAGTGGAGGCTCGAAGGATCCTCTTGCAGACAGGAGCTTTGACCGTGAAGGCGGCCTACAGCTTCAGCAGTCCAGTGTTGGTCGAGCTTTTCTCTCCGCCGAGGTTGACAGACTATGCACAGAGGAGGGCGCTCGGACAAGGTCTCGCATTGGACTTGACAACCTGTGATGACAAAGGGGTTGCATGGGATTTTAATGTGAAAGAGCGGAAGGACAGTGCATCAAAATTAATCGAGAGTATGAGTCCAGATTTGTTGTTGGGATGTCCCCCATGTCGCATGTACAGCTTGCTTCAATACCTCAATCAACATAGAATTGACCAGGAGGTGTGGGACAAAGCAATGACAGAAGCAGAGAACCATCTTGAGTTTTGTGTTGAACAATATGAAGCCCAGATGAAGAGGAACAAATTTTTCTTGCACGAACATCCAGCATTTGCTACATCCTGGAAGTCGCCATCGGTTGAACGCTTGAAAGATAAGGAAGGAGTGTTCCATGTTGTTGGCGACATGTGTGAGCAGGACATGCGTGTGTCGGATGAGCATGGTGAGGGTTTGGCCAAGAAGAGTACAGGTTACCTCACCAACAGTGAATGCATTGCACAGGAACTTTCCAAGCGCTGCTCAAATGATCCAGATGCATTGAGTGTTTTCAGGCAGGTCAACTTCAGTGCAACAAAAGGGCAGTATCCAGGCCAAGGGGGCCCATCTTGGGAACGTGTGCAGAGAAGGGTGACGTTTGATTTGACAAATCATCGTTTGTTGCAGGATTTGAGAGATGTTCATTCAGCCACAAGAGAAACGTTAGAATTCAGAATTCCATCACAATGCAAACAAGTTGAAACAGTTTTCGACCACATCAAACCAGGCAAGGTATGGCACAGACATGTTCCCCTTTTGGGGGGTAAGGCAAAGCAGCGCGAAGTGTACCCCAATCTTCTCTTGCGTAGTATCTTGAAGGGGCTGAGAAAACAGCTGAAGAAGGTGAAGCCCATGAGCGCACTTAGTTTTGGTCCAACAAATGAGGAAGTCGATTTGGACATTGAACTGGCACCCTCAGGTTTACAGCTTGCAGATGATTGGATTAGTTTTGTTGATGAGATTTCCGGCAAACCTTTGTCAGCAGCAGGAGTGCGAAAGGCTAGAGCAGAGGAGATTGACTATGCTGTGCGCTATGGTGTATGGGACACTGTACCCATAGCTGAGGCTTATGAGTATGACTCAAAAGGACCCATCTCTTCTCGCTGGATTGACATCAACAAAGGAGACGAAGATCATCCTTCGTACCGTTCTCGCTTGGTCATCCAAGAGATCAGGCAGTCGCATATTGAGGCGGTGTTCGCAGCCACACCTCCCTTAGAGTCCGTGAGGATGCTTTTGAGTTTGCAGCGAAGTTGCACAGATCTTGATAGCAAGGGGAGGAGGAAGAAAGTTCTTTTTGTTGACATTCGCCGTGCACATTGGACAGCCCGTATATTCAGACGAGTGTACGTTAGACTTCCAGTGGAGGCGGGAAATCCTGAAGGAACTTGTGGCCGGCTCAACAAGGCTATGTACGGTTGTCGTGACGCCGCAGCATGTTGGGAGCTTGAGATCACAGACTTCTTTACAACCAACGGTTTTGCTCCTGGCATTGGTAGCCCAGTTCTTTTTGTCAACACTACAAGAGACTTGAAGGTTTCGATACATGGTGATGACATTACAGTGTTGGGTTTTGAAGATGATTTGATGTGGCTTTACAAACAGATGGGTACAAGGTATGAGATGAAGTTTGGGGGCTTGCTTGGACCAGACGAGACAGATGTTCAGAATGTGGCCATCTTGAACAGGCTTGTGCATTACGGTCCAACAGCAACAACATTTGAAGCAGACCCTCGACATGTTGAGATTATTTTGAATGAGTTGAATTTGACAACAGCCAAGACAGTTTCGTCGCCCGGTGTCAGTGGCTCCAATCCCGATGAAACATTGTTGACAGGTGCTGATATTACAAGATACCGTAGCTTGACAATGAGGGCAAATTACTTGAGTTTGGACAGGCCAGACATCGCTTATGCAACCAAAGAGTTGGCTAGAGGCATGCAGAGTCCGACTCAAGGACATTACAACGGCTTGAAACGGCTTGCAAGATACCTTGGAGGACACCGGAGGCTCGTGTGGAGCTATGCGGAACAGTCAGAGCAAAGCAAGTTGAAAATGTTTTCAGATTCAGATGATGGTGGATGCCTCACAACAAGGAAGAGTACTTCAGGTGGTGCATTGATGCATGGGAGTCACTTGTTGAAATTTTACTCTTCAACCCAGCATGTGATCAGCTTGAGTTCAGGAGAATCAGAGTTTTACGCAGGCATCAAAGCTGGGAGTGTTCTGTTGGGTGGCATTGCAACAATGCAAGATTTGGGTTGCGAGTTTTCAGCAGAGTTGGTGTTTGATGCATCTGCCGCGAAGGCTATGCTTGGAAGACGTGGTCATGGCAAGGCCAAACACATTGCACGATGTTTCTTATGGCTACAGCAGAGGATTCAAGATGGTGATGTTGTGTTAGGAAAGTGCGGCACCAGTGTAAATCCAGCAGATTTGGCAACCAAACATCTGGATGGTGCTCGCATCGTAGATTTGCTTGAGTTGATGAGCCTTAGGTTTGAAAGTGGCTCACACTCGATGGCATTGAAGGCCTGACATGCGGATGGCGGTACCCGTACAGACCGACCATCCGAGGGGGCCTGTCAAGGGTTGAGGTCAAGGCCTTATGGCTATGATCTAGTGAAGTATCTGTTCATTCCAGCCGAAGAAAAGAGGTGCTCAAGAGTTTCGCAGAATTCCAATTCCATCAGCTTTGAACCAGCAGTGCAATCCGCCCAACTCGCTTTGTCTTTGTCCAGTCACATGTCCAGTCTGTGCCAGGCCAAGCAAACCAAGAGGCAGTTGCTGACCAATGCCTGGGCCCGATGTATTTGCATGGTGTTGTTGGCCTTGCAGCCTGACTTGACTTAAATTTCTTGTCAGACGCAGATGGAATGATCAGTTTCGACAAAAAAAAGAAGGTCGCAGAGCCATGTAAACATCATATGCATGCGGCTTTTGAATAGACTGGAACACTTGGGAGCTTGTTCAGAGTGGTTTCAGGCTTCTTGTGTTGACGCTCCGCATTGCTTCGCATCTATCTCATAGCAGCAATGGCACAGGCGTTTCTTTAGATCAGAGTTTCGAGGCTGCCATTTCACCTGGACACCATCCTCATCCCCTTCGCATGCGTCTCTTTGGGGGACGGGATCTATGTCTTGGCGGATGTGCCATCAGTGAAGTGCAGCAGCGCGGATGAGACCTTCATGACAATGTTTGGCGCAGGCTGGATGTTTGGCGGTGTGGTTCTGTGGTCCCAGGTGTGGAATTGGAATGCCAGGTTTGGTAGTGATCCTGGAAGATGAACACTGGGTTGTAGAGGAACATAGTTTTCCAAAGAACCATTTTCAGGTTCCATTTTAGTCTTCCCGGGTGTAGTGATCGTGGAAATAGGAGGAGGACGGTACCCACCATCTTCTCCTAGGTTTCACCGCTGTTTGTTGCGACGCGTTCTGATGCGTTCACGGAGCGTTGGAAGTTCGCGGAGAGCGGTTCGGAGAGCTGTGACCAACGGTTCGTGACCCCAAATGACCCAGGTTCGCTGGCCATGTTGGTCTTTGCCACGGGCTTTAGCTGGCTGATCTACTGCATTTGGTGCAGCTCCTCGTCGGCTGACAAGGGACAATATCAAGTTAGTTCCTGGTATCAGTAGGTTGGAGGCCATTCCTATTAGGTTGGAGGCCATCGCTAGTATATTGCACGCTCTGAGCTTCTGGCAGTTTCAGAGTCTCCCCCCTCTTTGGTGCCCACTTTTGGGCACACGGAAGCGGCGGCCCAACAGTGCGGCTCAACCCCTGAGGCCGTTGCAGTGGTCATGTCATTTGCACGAAGGATTGCTATCATGGTTACTACCCTACTGTATGAATGCTCCGAATTTGGGCAGTGACCCGTGACGCTGTTGAAGGTGAAGTGATCCACTTGCCACGGGGCAGTTTCGTCTACAATTTTGACGGTGCCACCGGTGAGGTTACCAGTGGCAGCAGGGCACACGCGATCGAAGCAACATCCCTTTCTACGTAGCTCAGCTGCAATGGAAGAGGTGTGGATTAGGCAAAGCAAACTGGCAGCTGTGCAGCTGGGTTGTTTCTGGAGTGTTTCATCCTCCTGGTTGTTACTGCCTTCGGACCGAAATCAAACGAATGGACATGTCGAAGCCGACAAACCAAGTGAAGAAAGTGAAGAGGGACGCCGCCAAGGAAAAGGAAAGACCAAGGGAACAGGAATGAAGGACGAAATGCAAGAAAGTGCTAGCAAGAAAGGAGATATGAAAGTATCATTATACGTATATGAAAGTATACTACAGGTAGCAAAGGGCATCGCTACTAGTAACAAGGACGCTACTAGGGGCTCCTGGCCTTACTACTAGGAGCAAGGAAGCTACTAGGAACAAAGGGCATCGCTACTAGGAGCAAGGACGGAGCAAGGACGCCACTAGGAAGAAAGGGCATCGCTACTGGGAGCAAGGACGCCACTAGGAAGAAAGGGCATCGCTACTGGGAGCAAGGACGCTACTAGGAACAAAGGGATGAAAGTATAGTTTCTTTTTCTGTTCTAACTTGACTGTCTCAGGTGGCCATGGTGGAGGTCTCCACCTTTGGGCAGCGAGGTGGGCCCGCTGAAGGGATCCGCTTCGGGATGCGCCGAAGCGACCAGTCTGACGGACACGGTGAACCGCTAACACCCTACAGGTCCAGTCTGACCCAATAAAACCTGGTCCTGAAACCCTCATAATTAATATGATATGATCAACTGCAGTAGAATCAATGCAGTAATTATATAGGTCAGTCTCCTGATCTTGTTCCGGGGCAGCTCGACACTCGACACCCCCTTGACTCGACCTGACTTGACACCAGGCTACACGGCAGAGGTGCGTACGCGAGTGATGGAGAACGTGTGCGCGGTGCGCGCCTTCGACGTGTCCGCCACGAAGCTCCACGAACGAGAAGCCAAGATGAGAGCGGCTGGGACGGAGCGATGCGGCGAACGTCACGAAGAGCACGAAGCACAGACACACAGCACGACGAAGGAGACATTGGGGGGAAGAAGATGGAGGTTTGATGATGTTTGGGTGTGAATCGAGGACAAGGTAGTGATAAGACATCAAGGATGTGCTGCTGAAGCTGTGAGAAGTTTCTTTCAACATGTTTCAAGAACCAAGCTTTTCAACATCGGCAGGCCCGGCAGTGCAGTCCTTCTACACAAGGGGGGGTGTTTCTGCAGATGATGGCGAGCTGCGGAAGAGTTTCCAAACAGGTGTCCAAACGTGCTTTTTCAAAGCCCTTACGGTACCACGGTATCACTATACCAAACCCCAAACACTCCATGGGACTGGCATATTTACATTGGGGTGGTTGAAAAGGGATCAATGTAGCTTCTTGTTCCTAGCAGTTTCTTGTTACTAGTAAGAATGCTTCTAGTAGCGATGCCAGGAGCCCCTAGTAGCGTCCTTGCTCCTAGTAGTAAGGCCAGGAGCCCCTAGTAGCTTCTTGTTCTAGTAGGTATATATATATATTCTATACTTCCAGTCATTGTCTGGGCACGGCCTTCCCCGAACCACCCGTTCACCCGGCTGGTTGCGTCGGCCACCCTTCTCCGAGGCCCGGGAGATGCTCAAGGGCCGAGACCATCGGGAGAAGCGCTTTGCGCCGGAGAAGGAGGCGGGATCGACGAGTGGTCTCTGAGGGGTGTTGAAGTAAGCTCAAAAGTCAGGCAGAGCTTGAAGAATATTGAAGAGATATATGTGCATATTAGAATGTGTCTATACCATACCAGAACCCTCCAACAGGTCACCACCCGCCACTTTTAGATCTTCATTTCAGCCACCAGAGGAGACCTGTAGAGTCGGGTGCTGGTATAGACTATGTATATGTAGGGTCTGTCCCATTACCTGTAACAGTCAGTACACGATTATCATCATTATTGCAAGGCCTGCAACTGAACCATCATCATCCACTGAGGCCCAGGTAATAGGATAGACCAAAAAAAGCATGTTTGAAGATGAAACATCATGAAGCTCGTTCCACCAGCACCGATCGTTGCTCTTTCACTCCGGGGCGAGCGGTGGGCGTTGAGAGATGAGGACCGGCCGTTGGAAATCCATCCAGCTGGGCAGGGGAAAAAAGGCTTTGGGAGCACCGATCAAACAAGGATGCAACGGTTCTGTCGACGAGCCCGACTATGGGTCGATGGTCGGCAAGTCACTTTGTGCCTCAGGAGAAGTTCATTGACAAAAGCGGAGAGCTTGGTCAGGTGCAGGGCTTTGCTGCCTTGTTGTTTTGGAGGTTTGATGTACGTATTTATATGTAGCAAACCTCAAAGCTTTAGGAGTTTTGGTGTATGGCATGATTAGACCAGCCAAACAGTTCTGTGATGTCCCCGAACGCTGGCGCCTCCAAAGTCCGGGGCGAGGACTCCGACAGGAGCCCCAGGGGAGTTGCTTCGCCAGGATGGTTTGCAGCAAAGACTTGCAATTACAAAGGCGAAGAAGAGATTTCTGTCTCTTGGCAGAAGAGAAAGACCCAAAGGAAGCAAGTACCGTTATAGTACTCGGTGAAGAGAGACTTGAAGCATGGCCAATGGCAGCCCATGCACCCTCGTCAACCCTGCTCCTTGAATGGAACAAACTGGTCATCCAGGGGTCGCACACGGTCAAATCCTTTTACTAGGAACAAGAAGCTACTAGGGGCTCCTGGCATCGCTACTAGGAGCAAAGACGCTACTAGGGGCTCCTGGCCGTACTATTAGGAGCAATGTTCGCTACTAGGAACTAAGGAACTGGTTCTTGTCACACAGACCAGTGGATGTGCAGCGCCACTGGCGTCCAAGGAAGAAGAATACCTGGCCGTCCAAGGCGGGTGACAACGACGTCTTGACAAGTCGACGACATGTGACCGTCACGATGTGAGACCATTCGGTATGGGAAGCTTGAGGAGTAACAAGTGCCACGCTAGGTAGTAACAAGTGCCTTACTAGTAGTAACAAGAAGCTACTGGGGTTTCGGCGTAGACACCAAAAGAACATCCAAGCAACCATGCTTGGAACCTTTCATGCAGCGTAGCTGCCATCCTTCCATCGGTTTTTCAGTCGACTGGGAAGCATGAACACCGCCTCCAGCCAGATCTGAAGCCCGTCAGAGCTGGAAGGCCAAGCAAGTCCTACCATCCCTTCAGAACAATGGATAGGGTAGTGGCTTTTATGGTGTTTTTTGCTTTCACCGTGTTCTACCGATTTCGGGGTCGAGACGCGTGAGGCGGATGGGAATCTGGTGACCTACGGCTGGATCTTCTTGGTGAACACCTTACTCCGGAACCTGCTCTCCAATGCGGCCATCAAGCTCACGAGCCAAAATCTGGTGGTCATCGGCGCGGGTTTGCAGATGCTCATCTTCGCGCTGAATGTCACCATGTTGGTCTGCTGCTCGGCAAACATTCTCCGGTGGAGAGTCCAAGTTGGAGAGATCATCTACGTGCCTCAAAGAAGCAGGGTGCGACAGTGCAACATGTCGTGTAGAATTTCTCTACTATGGAGCATTCGAGCATTCTGTGTGGTTTGGCGTGCCAAGAGGTTCTACCGGGCCGGCTGAGAATCAGAGCTAGCTGAGTCTCTTTAGCCATGAACTGATCTCCCAATGGAACATCTTGGAACGATCACCAGAGGCGTTGCTCTCGCCGGCTGACGTGTGCCGCCCATCAGCGCCCCATCAGCGCCCAGGTTTGAGCCCATACAAGTCCCGGTTCGTGGTGAAGACAGATGCTCGGCGCCATCCCGGTTCGTGGTGAAGACAGTTTAGGAAATGCCTCAACGAAAATAAGTCAACAGTCAACGGTTGTTTTTTTCTTCTAGTAGCGATGGCCTCCAACCTAGTAGCCACCTACATAATGGCAAGGAAATATTTTTGGTGCAGCTTCTCAATGTTCTGTTGGACAGCGTCAATGAAGTATCCCAGAAGGTGTGTATGAAGATACAAAAATTCCTTCACGCGAAGCATCATCAACATGTTGCTGGAGTAGAAAGGCCCCTATATATAATAGGTATCACTTTCACCTTGAAACTGCCCTGGTTTCAAAGGCATTCAAGCACCATGTGGGGGTCCATGTTTCCAAGAGCTGCTCTCATGATACGTTTGCGACGAACTTGCAAAACAATCCGTAGCTGCTGTGAATATCATGGAGCTTTCCTTTTCCATCGGCTTTTACAATCGATGGACTCCCCTTGTGGCTGGTGGGTCTCAGTACCAACACCTCTAGCAAACGCCCCGATGCCCCATCGCCCACATCCTTGTTACTCGTAGCTTCCTTGCTCCTAGTAGCGATGCCAGGAGCCCCTAGTAGCGTCTTTTGCTCCGCGTTGCTAGGAGCCCCTAGTAGCTTCTTGCTCCTAGTAGCTTCCTTGGCATCCTTGAGGAGTCGGTTTTGATGGGAGTTCTCTTTATGATCCTTTGGTGTGCCGTTATGAAAGAGCTCCTGGAGAGACACACGGAGCGACGAGCCGGGCGTGAGAGCCAGGGCAGTTGGACTGGGCCTGCTCGGGCGTGAGCACCGGTGGCAGCCTGTTGGGTCTTTCATAATGAACTAAAACCTAATAGCCATAGCCTCCATTTAGTAGCTTCTTGCTACTAGTTTTTTGTTTGTTCCAAGTTCAGTTGCTCTTGACGGATTTTTGTTTGAGTCGGGGAGACCTTTTCGAGAAGCTGGGAACAGAAGATATTGAGAAGGCCTGATTGCATGACCCCCTTTGTTGAGCAAAACAGGGCGAACCATGACTTTGCGTGATGTGCCGCAGGATAGGCACCTTTACGAAGATATGGTGGAGACGGTGAACACCATCATCACGGCCTTCGCCTTCACCCTGATGTTCTTTGTACCCTTCGTGCCCATGTATTTTGTCTATCAAGTGATTAAGAAGGCTGGGCAGCTAGTGACAGGGCCTGATGCTGTCTTGAACGAGATCTACATGACGGCGCACCAGAAGAAGATGAAGCGTCGAAAGGACGGCATGGCATGAGATGTTGAGCTACTAGTAGCGTCCTTGTTCCTAGTAGCGATGCCAGGAGCCCCTAGTAGCGTCCTTGCTCCTAGTAGCGAGGCCAGGAGCCACTAGTAGCGTCGAAAGGACGGCAAGTTGAGATGTTGAGACCATGTGAAAGATAGTTTGGATGGAGCTTCAGAGGAAGCAAAGCAGACGGACGTGACACAGGACGTGTCGGACTCGTGAGTGGCAACACTCACGTTACCAAGAGAAGTGAACTCTTTGGAGCCTTTTGGAAAACAGCATGCAATAGGCCGATGAACTCTTTACTTTCCATCCCAACACATAGACCACAAAAAAGGCGCTCTAGATGTCACCGAAGACAACAAAGCCGATGTGAATCGCTTTCCAGGAAGCCGAAATGGCAGCTCTCAACAAGTTGGTGGAAAAGGAGGTCGACACGGACGAGAGACGTGAAATGTTGGCCAACGTAGGTGTCTCGGCACATTGCGGGGCGTTCGCAGGCGTGGTGGGTGGGCATGCACATCTGACCTGGCGCCTGTGTTGGGCATGCACATCTCATGGCAGTGAGTTGTCGTTCTTCAGCTCAGGACTTGTGGAAATGAAAAACACCTCAGGAAGCCTGAGCCAAATTGGGGCCTCTTTTCTTCTTGTGTGTTGGCATATCAGCCCTGACAAGCGAGTCCCAAAAGCATTCATTCCCAAAATCCTTTATATGAAGCCAAGAGCTCCTTGAGCACCTCGGAGGTAGACTTCTTGGGACGGTTTCCGGATTTGTCATCACTTTGCTCATCCAATTCGCCAAGCATCGATTTCTGCTAAAGCTTCTTGTTCCTAGTAGTAAGGCAAGGAGCCCCTGGTAGCGTCCTTGCTCCTTTCATCAGCACTCGCGCATCCTGTCGTTTGGTGGTGTCGAGGACTGGTCATGCCACAGTTGGAGACGACTCTGGCACGCTTCGAGGAAGCAGGTCTTGGAAAGTATGTCCTTCCAGAGGTTCAAAAGAAATATATGCTGCGTCCCTTGGCCGTTCATGAAGTCACGCATTGAAAACCTTCTTTTCTAGTTCATTGGTTTTTTATTGCCATAATCAAGCGATGCAGATTCAGTTGCTGTTTATTTGTTGTGTCGTCTTCTGCTTGTGTCGTAGTGGTGGAAGATGAAAGGACTCATATTAGAATGCGGACCTTCCGGATGCTGAGCCCTGTGGTCGCTCAAGTTTCTAATTATTGGAAACCTTGTCCAGCCCACAGTCTGCTTCAACAAACACATGACGCTCCGATCTCCCTGGGACCTACCAATTACAATCTTGTGGTCATTCGCCCTTCAAAAGGCTCACGCAGAGGGGGTTCCACCGTCTTTCAGAAGTTCCAAGGTCTGGGGAAGCTGGCAGGGAAGATCAACGAGGAACGCGTCTTAGCCATTGAGGCCGAGCGCAGCCGCGAGGACGCCGACCAAGCGGCCGCGAACCTGGCGGATGCTCGGGTTCAGAGCAGCTGGAGGAGTCATGGGGAGTCACTTGTTGGGTGGAGACATAGGCCAAATTGACATTATATGACTATATACCCAACAAGTGACAGATCCAGAAGAAACTCACGCCGGGTAGACGAGAAAAATGTCTGCAAGTAGAAGGTCTCGGCATTTGAAGGGAAGACACTTTAGTAAGTCGGGTTCTTGGGATGGGAAGGCAGGCTGAGATGTGGGTGGAACTGTATGGAACTTCCCGATTGGAGTCGAGAGTCGACAGATAACTGTCAATCATCAAGCTGCGGCAGCTTCAACAGCGATCCGCCGGGACATAATTTGGAGCTGGTCGGGTCTCCTTGTTGGCCGAGGCGCACACACCTATATACAGACAGGCAGGCAGACAGACAGACAGAGAAGAATGTTTGTTCGATGGTCGTCTCTAGCTGAGGCGTTGCAGGGTCAGAACGCCTCCGAGGAGGAGCTGGAGATAGCGAGGCTCGTGGCGCTCTCGTCACCGACCGGAGACGGATCTGGAACGTTTTGGTGCAACAATGTCCAGGCGAAGAAACTGGTAAGAGGCAATATCCGCTAAGAGGATCTAAGAGGCCTTCTATTCCGGAAGTCTTTCTTATTTGAAGAATTGCAACACTAGGGAGCAAGAAGCTACTAGGAGCAAGGGCATCGCTACTAGTAACAAGGGCATTACGAATAGTAGCATTCATACTACCAGTATCAAGAAGCTACTAAGGACTGGCATCGCTACTAGGAGCAAGGACGCTACTAGGAGCAAAGGGCATCGCTTCTAGTAACAAGTGCCTTACTAGTAGTAACAAGAACGCTACTAGGAACAAGTGCAACACTTTTGGTCGTCAGCCACGCTTGGCCAGGCTCGAGGTGGAGGCCGCGGAGGTCACCGCCATCAAGGCAAAGCGAACGGTGGCAGTCGCAAGTCGGACCCTGTGGCATGTCATGCGTCCACAGTGCCACGGTAGTTCAGCTCATGTAGGTTGGAGGCCATTGCTAGTATCCATACTATTCATGTTTGTTCCATCACACTTAAGGGGAAGCTACCGGGAATGACCCAGAAGGCTCTAGACAGCAAGGACGCTACTAGGGGCTCCTGGCATTCTGGCATCGCTACAAGGAGCAAGGCTACCAGGGTTCAACTCTTTTTGTCTCGATCAAGACAGCCTGAGCGTCTCATCTACCGAAGCGCTAGGCACAGACGCGGCTCACGCTCTCCCGGAAGAGTCGACTCACTCAGTGGGGGAACCCGGAAGCCGGCGAAGCGCCAGGCAGAAGGTTTTGGACTGGGACATCGGATGACATCGGCTCTTTGCCTGAGATCTTAAGTGATGTTTTGACCAGTCCAGAAGTCATCTCAGTTGAGAAGAAGAGTTCTTTTCATTCCAAGGGTGGCGCAAGAGGTTGCGATACATGGCCAGGTTTGGCTAAGATCTTTTTGGGCACACCCAAAAGAAAGGAACATGACGTAGGCGCGGCCGAAAACAGAGGCCGCCCACAAGACCTCCGGTTTTAATTGAAAGGTAGATGAACATAGACTAACACCCATTGGTGAGGGGGCTTTGAGTTTTGCCAACAAGAAAACTATGATTTGATAGATGCATGTCTTGTAAGAGCTAGCTGACTAGCCTGGACCTCCACGTTTGCTCTCCAAAGTAGGCCTTTTGCTGGGTTTGTGCTGAGGATGAATGTTCCCGCCCTGAAGCGTTGATGTGGAGGGAACTGAATTGCTTGAGCGCCTGGTACGCTGGTAACGCAGGCGATTGCGAAATGAACCTGCAATGCTTGGATGAAGACTTTTTAGATGAAGATCATGGCTGGTTATGATAGCATCACACCAAATATCTTTATATATCTACATGTTTCTTTTGCTATAGTAAATAGACCTTGCGACACGTGGTGACAGTGGTAACTTACACTTGGCCATGTCTAGCCATCTTTGGCCCCATCTCTTGAAGTACTCCATTTCTACCCGACCATTTTCATCCCCACCCTAATCAGTGGCATCTAGCAGAGCTTCCTCTTGGACTGAAACCTGTCACCCACTTCAGGGAACTGACGTGCGAGGATCAAAAGTTTTACACCTGGCAGAGAAGGACTTGGTCTGTGATCAAAATTTCATCTGCGCGTTGCTGAAACAACCTGGGAGTCATACCTTCCAGTGTTAATGAATGCATCCTTTTTGGAGGCCGTTAGTTCGTAGCAACCAGCAGTTGAGGCTGATCGCCAGCTTTCATTCTGGCCTCCTGTCCGGCAATGCCTTTTCCACGGACAGGAGGCAGCAACAGCAGATTGGCTACTTATCTCAGTATGTGTGGGTCAATCTTGCTAGTAGGTTGGAGGCCATCGCACTTAGGTTGGGTCAATCCTGACGTCCCACGCAAGGGGACAAGCACTCCGTTGGCGTCCAAGTGACGTCGGTGAATTAGACCGACTCCAAACAGGCAACGTCCCTGTAGAATAGGTACCATCGAATCGTAGGATGTATGACCTAGAATTGCCTAGAATACGGTTTGAATTTGTTTGAACGGATACATCTTTGACAGGCCATCGCTAGTAGGTTGGATGCCATCGCTATTAGCTTGCGCTAGGTTGCATGTTCTTACATATAAAAATAGGGCGCATGATAGCCTTTGAATGGATACATCTTGATGATATGATCGGAGTGATGAAGGAATCCTCTCTTCTGTGGGTTGCTTTGAGCCAGTTCAAACTCAACGCCCTCCGCGAATGCGGAGATCGACGGATGGATCATACATACCAGGCTTCGTGACCGCCCCTCGTTGGTGACGAAAAAGGGCTCGCACTGCGCGCGTGCCGGCGCATGGGATATCCGGTTGATAGGAGAGGTTCGTCCGTCAGAGAGCGTCCGGCAGTTTGAAACAGTGTACCTTTGCAGCTCTAGACGTTGCTAGAACTCGGAATATGTCGTGTGTCAATCAGTCGAGTCTTTGCGAGGCATTGGCAGTGAAAGTTGAAAGGAGCGGAACCTGGTGGGTAATACAATTGGCACCATGGATGCAAGGTATCACCCGACGTACATAGATGGACCAGAAAGGTACAGTTACACAGGTTGTAAGCCTCTACCTACCCCCCATCTTTCGAAACTTCAATGCGAGACCGGACCCAAACGGATAGCGGATAGGTCGCTGTATCGACATGGTTCCCCAAACGACCGCACCTCGATGCACACGCAGGGCTGCGTCTTTGGCGTCTTTTCTTTCGCGATGATGAGTTGGAGGTGACGCAGTGGAAGACTTCTCGGCGGATGAAGGAAGAGGGGGTGTTGAGCTACTAGGAACAAAGGGCATCGCTACTAGGAGCAAAGGACGCTACTAGGGGCTCCTGGCCGTAGCTACTAGGATCCAAAAGACTGGCTAGCTGCCGCTAGCTGGGGAAGCCGGTGCTCACCCATTTGTTTTCCGGTTGGTGTGTATGCTCACCGGCAGTTTCTTCTTATTGCTTGAAGCTGACTTTGGGCTGAAGCTTAGGTCAATTCTAGTGGCCTGAAGCTCAGTCGATAGGATTCTTGCTGCTTTGATCCTCTCGCAAAGCGCATCTGATGGGCAAAGGAATTCTGAAAAGCAAAGTTGTATGTTTCTTTGCGGTGCCAAGACTGAACTTGAAGCAACTCGCATGTAGATTCATGGAACATCGCGGATAAAATGATGCATTTGCTGAGTGCCCATGAATTGTGTCCCGGAGTGTCTGGTCACTTGCTGAGTTGTTCGTCACCGCTTCTGCCATTTCCTTGGAGGAGAAATGCACACCGTCGTAGTCTGACGCTGTTGCTGGATGTGAGACTATATGAGACTAAGACTTAATATTATGAAGAACTCTCAGAGACACAGTAGTCAAGTGAGACTTGTGCCTTATGACTTATGACCATTGGAGCATATTGGAACCAATTCAAAGCCACAAAGAACTCTAGAAGCTTCGGGAGACGATTTGTGGCGCTCTTCGTGAGACGTGTGCAGGGCAGACATCCAGAGCCAAGTTCCGTAGCTCAAGGCAGTTCCGGGGCGAAGGGTTCGTGTGGACCCCAAAAGAGCTGGGAGCAATCACCTGTGATGTGCATGGAGTGTGTGCCAGAGCTACTAGTAGCTAGTTACAGCTGGAAGAGTCACATCCTCTCGGTCTAGGCAGCACAGGTGTTCACGTTTGACAGATGATTTCTTGGACAATCCACGGCGGCGAATAGCTTACTCTAGCCTCGTTTGCAGGCAAGAGTGCCACGAAGATGACACAGGAGCAGTGTAAGGCCAATAGGGGTGATGCGACATGCCACGAGAGTTACGACGTGCGACATGCCACGATCAGCTTGACCCTTGAGACAAGCTCAATCATACTGCTTGTAGATGTGTGATCTATCATCGACAACGGTACAACTGTAGAAGCTCCCAATGTTGAACCCAAGGCCTATATAGCCAGTAACAAGAAGCTACTAAGAACAAGTGCCACGCTAGTAGTAACAAGTGCCTTACTAGTAGTAACAAGAAGCTATTAGAAACATAGGTTCCGAAAGCGCGGCAAGAATCGTTGGACCGACGGCTGAATCGCTGGAAGGTTCAATGTCAAAGATTCGGCATGAAGCGCATCTTGGCAGCTCTGATTTTCTCAGAAGAAAGCAAGAAGCTACTAGTAACACAGAGCATCGCTACTAGGAGCAAGGACGCTACTAGGGGCGCTCCTGGCCTTACTAGGAGCAAAGGGAGGAGCAAGGATGCACCCTGTGCACGGCTAGCAGCGAAAGGGTTTGGCCCAACGGCGAGAGGCTTTGACTCGACGAGTCCCTGCCACTTCTGCCGTTCTTTCCTTCCAAGGCATGGGCGAGGAGTTCAAAGACATCACCCGTCCGCAGGCTCGCCGGCGAAGACCGGTCCCCATGTAGAAAAAGTATATGACAGAGGACCCAACCAACTGCATGAGGTCTCTACTACTACTACTACTACTACTACTACTACTACTACTACTGCCACTGCTATGGTCTTTGAAGCTACTAGTAAAATACTCACCCCTTTTTGGTAGGCGAAAGATCCATCTCAACATGGCTCCAAGCTGCCAGGAGTGTGCGGCCAAGTGCGAGGAAGTGTACAAAGCTTAAAGGAGTGTCCCAGAGGCCCATCGCACAAGCAGACGTTGGACCTTCTTGGTCATGTACGGCATGGTTTTGATTGTCGGCTTGTCACTTGCTTATGACTCCATGTGGCTTCACAGTTGAGTTGATCGAACGAAGCGACCACAAGGAAGACCCAAAGAAGTATGTGCTGCATGAACTACAGCAGCAAGAAGGGAAACTTTTGTTTTGGACAAGATGACAACTGTATCAAAATATTCAATCTTTGGGAGGAAGGATTCCTTCAACTGAGGGAACATCCAGTTGTCCCGCTGAAACTGAGTGAACCCGCTTCCAGAATGACGTTCTTTCTTCACGCCTCCAAATGACAAGAATAGCAGAATACGTGTTCTACCTTTCGTTTCACCAAAGTATCATCCGTCGGATAGCACTGGATGACATCACGTAAAAGAAGAAAACATAAGAAGACCATAAAGAGAAAAAAAACAACAAGGAAGGAACAAGAAGCTACTAGGGGGCTCCTGGCATAGCAGATCCAGAAACACGTTCACTCTCATCCGACCGATCTCTAGGCATCCTCCCCTCCACCCAAACCCAAAACCAATCAAAACCACACCTCGCCCGCTCGCGACGCCCATGGCCATGGCGCTGTGCGACGGCTCGGTGCCCAATGGCGAGCGCTTCGAGGCTTGGGCACCGCGGATGCTGCGGGCAGACGCGGGTCCCGTGGCGACGGTGATGGAACTGCGGAAGACGAAGGAGCTGGGAATCCATGCGGTGGCCAGGCGGAGATGCGGGACCTGGCAGGATGTAAATGAATGCAGAAGGATTGCAGATGGTTTGAGAGACCCAGAGATGGTAATAGTGGTCCAGGTTGACTCCTTTGGGGATCACGGACTGAGAGGGTTGAACCACATCGAAGCTGCTTTTGCCCCCCAGACCTGCAGGTGTTCGATCCATCCGGATGATTTGATCATTTCAGAGCAGGCACTTCTGCGTTGCTTCGGCTGTATTTAGGACCTTCAAGTTTTTCTTGAACGTAATCATATGCCAAACTTCTTTAAGTCGTGTTTTCATGTGTTTTCATTTGTTTCTTTGTTGAAAAACAACAAAAAGAAAAACAGATATGCCATTGACACCGACACCCTTCTCCCCTCTGCCAGGTCTGCCGCCACCCAGCGCCGAGGCGCAGCGCCTGCTGCGGGGCTTCGGCGAGCTCGGCGGCTTCTTGGCGCCGGCGCTGTGCGCCCCTTGGGCCACCACCTCCGCGGAGCAGCGGGAGGCCGTGACCGTCCGCGACCAAAGACGCGTCGTGAACCGTGCGGTTTTGGGTGTGGAGAGAGCAGTGAAGCCATGGCTGGGAGAGGGGTGGTCTGGAAGAGGGTGTCAAACACTTTGCTCATTTCCAAGAGGATCAGACTCACTAGGTGTGTCTTTGTCGCATCACCCTTTATGCACTCACAACTGCTCCCTTCCCTCTCAGCAGCGCGATGTTCTCAGGCCTGTTTGCAGCTCTTCTATGCTCATCCGGGCTCCGAAAAGAGGAGCCAAGGTACCGCTGGGACGAACGGAATTGGGTGATCCTAATAGCTTTTTGTTACTACTAGTAAGGCACTTGTTACTACTAGCGAGGCACTTGTTACTAATAGCATGCATCAGGTTCAAGAATTCTTCAATGCACGGTGCCTGCATGCCTGCACGGCACCTTTTTTATCCTTTTTTCTTTGAAAGACCAGGCCTAGGAACGCACCCAATGGCTTAGCCAGGAACGCACCTGGCAGCGTGCGCAGAGCTTTTGCGCTGTTGGGCGCCATTGAAGCACAGCAACTGGACGCCAGAGGAACTGTTGCTTCGCCAGTTTCAGCAGGAGCAAGTGGGTAGGAGAGGCACTGAACAAATTCTTCACCCTAGGCTTCCAGCCACCATTGATTTCATGTTTTACAGAACCACCTGTCTCTAAGTGGTCTTGGAAGGTTCTGGTTCCTGTTTGTTTTGACTCCAAGTTCTTTCCGGAGACGACCTCTGCAGACGCTCTGATAGGGCACTTGTTTCTAATAGCTTCTTGTTACTACTAGTAAGGCACCTGTTACTACTAGCGCGGCACTTGTTTGAAATAGCTTCTTGTGTCTCTTACAGAACTTCCACGACTTGGGCATGCGGCGAACAATTCAAGTCTTGCTTCGCCCTGTTGCTTTTGCCATGTTAGGCTGCATTTTCTGCACATCGTTGACCTGAATATTCACAAAGATGATGAGAGGCAGGATGGTGTCCTTTTGTTTCTATTCCTGATACCCTGCAAGTGGTTCGCTTGACCCACCATCCCCGAAGGCAACCACTTCCTCCTTTGACCATCCTTGGTCTCCTGCCGGCGTCGGAGGCCGCAGAATTCGGAGTTCACGGGGATCTTCGTCTTTGGCTCCAAGTTCTCCCACAGCTGTGCGCCGAATGCCGCATGGTCCTTTGACCGGGAGGGACGCTTGCAGTACCGGGCTCTCTGTCCGATTGCTGAGGGGGATGTGCTGACCTTCTCCTATGTGGGCAATGGTGACTTGAGGAAAGAAAGAACATGTTCATGCTGTTCTTTTTCTTCATCCAGAAGCTATGGCCTCCAACAAAATTGTGTTCCTTTCTTCTTCCAGAAGTCTGAAGTTTCACTGGTTTCACTTTAGAAGGCAGCACTGTTGCCAACAGTGATGCTTTCCAAGCGGAACTACCCAGTGTTTGAGGCATGAATCTCATCACCAGCACCTTGCTTCGGCGAGAACGCCTGTCTGCACTTTGTTTCGTTTGCAGCTGCGCACGATGTCAGGGCGCTGACATGTCTCGGCGGCTGCCATGTCCTCAATGTGGAGGGAGCTGCTATCCTTCTTACCCTCAGGTGGATGATGCCACTTTGGCAGGGAGCTCACGTGACTTAATTCAGGATGCAAACATTTGGAAGTGTGAGAGCTGCAAGGCAGATGTCAAGGCAAGTGATCTGCCACTGGAAGCAGAAGAGGAGCGCAACATGTGTGAAGCGAGCGTTTGCGGTTCCTCAAGTGTTTGGATTACCAGGTGCTTTGTTTTCACTTGCAGCACTTAGAATCTCAGCAAACCTCCTGACTTGTGCCTCCTGACTTGTGGTTTTGCACCTATTACCATGGTGGATTCTTTATGTATGCCTTAATTACAGAAGATCTGTGAATGGAGGGGTTTGGGGAGGTGGCTCTAGCTACTCTTGTTCCTAGCGTTCTTGTTACTAGTAGTAAGGCCAGTTTCGCCCCGCTACGAACGTCCGATCGCTCCGTTCGAGTCGCGATGCCCGAAATGCTCCGAACGTCGCTTCCTCTGTTCAGCTGGTCCTTCGGCCCGTTTTGCGTCCCGCCGGAACGACCTGATCAACTGCTAGGAACAAGTGCCTCGCTAGTAGTAACAAGTGCCTTACTACTAGTAACTAGTAACAAAAAGCTATTAGCATTAAAATTAACTAATAGCTTCTTGTTACTACTAGTAAGGCACTTGCTACTACTAGCGATGCACTTGTTCCTAGTAGCTTCTTGTGCCGGAAAACGACCTGAGGAGTTGACGGAACTGGTGCCTCGCTTCATGCAGGGCGATCCCAGCTCGGCTCGAGAAGATGCGGAGCGCTTGTGGCAGCTGCGGCAGAAAGCGGCTGCGGTCTTGTCGAAAAACCATTGGACCTGGTTCTTGGCAACATTCGCATGGCTGCAGAAGTGGCTTAGCTGGCTTAGATTTGGAGGTGGACGTGATGTTGAATGATTTTCATCACATCCGCTGGGTGGATTGACTCTGACCTTTTCTACTATAATGACACACGGAGAAAGCACATCGGTCAAAGTATTCAGTGGTTTACTCAGGTTGGTGTTGAGTCTCTCCTGTTGGATTTCAGTCTTTCATGCGGATAATCGGTTGTGCCTTGGTGTTGCCAGCTGCGGTGCGGTGCTCTCTTCTCCTTTCGTTCGCGCCACATGTTCCCATCTCTTCTTACCTCCCTCTTTGCACATTGCATGGAAGGCCACACAAATCCGGCTCTCAAGGTGCCTCCTCTGCCTGCGGAACGCGCCGATCGTCGCCTTCTCAGAGAGGGACCTCTGCACCGCGAGCACCGAAGCGGCGCGGTGGTTGGAGTCCGCGGCGCCGGAGAACATGGAGCAGCGGCTTTGTGCCTTGTTCTTGGCAGCGCGCTTGGCTCAACACCTGGGAACTTTGACGCTTCCAATTGGGCAGACCTTTGGGTGTGTGGTGTATGCATAGTACTCGTATCGTATTCTATATATATAACCATAATAATCAGAATATGTTTGTTTGTTATTTTGTAGCGGCATAGGTATCAAAAAAGTAATATTTATCGAATCAAGAACAAAAATACTCACCGAATCAAAAAGTAAATATTTACTGAATCAATAAAAAAATATTCGTTGTGCGATGAAATCCCTTGGAATTCCCAGTCGTGTAGGTGGCCGGTCCTCTGGTCCGCTGGTCCCCTGGTCCTCTGGTCCGCTGGTCCCCTGGTCCTCTGGTCCTCTGGTCCGCTGGTCCTCTGGTCCGCTGGTCCTGGTCCGCTGGTCCCCTGCAGTCCGCTGGTCAACTGGTCCGCTAGTCCCTTGGTCCTCTGGTCCTTCGTCTTTCTTTCTTTCTTTCTTTCTTTCTTTCTTCGCAGCTGCTCTCCTTTCTTTTTTTTGCGTTTGCTTTTCCTTTTGTTCGCTTTGCAGAGACGAAACCAAACAAGGAAGCAAGCAAGCAAGTAAGGAAGCAAGCAAGCAAGCACGAGCTGCTCACCTTTGGATCTGGTGTGCTGCTCGGGGGGGGGCTGCGCCCAACCCCCCCCGCGCCACGAAATCTGCACTTCATCCCCGACACCCGCGCCTGCCACGAAATCAATATTTGAAGGTGAACTCCCCGGTGCAAAATTTTCTAACCAAGCAATTATGCCTCCTCTATCTCTCTCTCTCTCTATCTATCTATCTATCTATCTATGTCTGTATCTATCGATCCATTTATCTTTCTATCTGTCTATCTGCAGTTCAACATCCACAAAGTACTACACCTGCCACGAAATCTGCACTTCAAGGTCCACAAAGTCTTGCGCCTGCCACCAAATCTGCACTCCAAGGCCCACAAAGTCCTGCACCTGCCACCAACTCTACACTTCCACATCAAAAAGTCCTGCGCCTGCCACGAAATCTGCACTCCAAGGCCCACAAAGTCTTGCACCGGCCACCAACTCTGCACTTCCACATCCACAAAGTCCTGCACCTGCCACGAAATCCTCCAAGGGCCACAAAGTACTACACCTGCCACGAAATCTGCACTTCAAGGTCCACAAAAAGTCCTGCGCCTGCCACTGGCCACCAACTCTGCACTTCAACATCCACAAAGTTCTGCACCTGCCACGAAATGTGCATTGCAAGGTCCACAACGGACTGCACCTGCCACGAAACACTACGACTACCACTACGATACTGCTGCTATTATAGTACTGTTGCTACTCTTACTGCTACTGCTATTTGGAATATTTTTGAGCCAGTATTTTTTATTGATGCGTGTAGAATATGTTTTTATTGATACGTTAAATATGTTTTTTGATCTCTCACCCTTTTGTAGCAGGGTGGCACGACACCGAAACATATGAACGACAGCGATCTTTGCACAAGGACGTTGACCATTGGACTTCCGACACAGCTTCGGCGTCTTCCGTCTGCCACGGAGGACGCCGGTCACACCAAGGATGCGGACTGACCCGTTGGGGCTACGACATCGAGAACCCCTTGCGGGAGCCGCCCAGTGACCGCGGCTTCGTGGCGCTCAGGAAGCTGGAGCTGATGGGTCGCTTGGACATGAAAGATGTCGGTCCCTTGTTACTAGTAGTTTCTTGCTACTAGTAGTAAGGTACCTTGCTAATAGTAGTTTATGATCGAATGGAAGATGGTGCAGGCAAAGCTCCCAGAATTATCACGTACAGAAGCTGGAAGTTGTGTGTGTGACGTACCGTGTGAAGCTGGAAGTAGTGGTTTTGGGATGTTTTGGGCAGATGGTGGTCGTTGGAAATGAAAAGGAAACAGTTGACCAGCTGACCTGAACGATGACCAAAGACAGCGGTCAACACGTTTAGGCATTTGCCTACCACGAATTGTTGAAGAGATAGAGGGGTCCAAAAGAGTAGATAGATGGCTACAAATAGCGTCCTTGCTCCTAGTAGCGATGCCCGGGTTCCTAGTAGCGATGCCCTTTGTTACTAGTAGCGTCCTCTTGCCACTAGTAAGGCACGAAAGAAAGGCTCAATTTCTTGTAACGTTCCTTCCATTCGTGTCTTTGCACCGAAACGAACTGTTTCGAACTCACCGATGGGCTCAGCGAAGGTTGGGAACTCAGGGAGACCTGTACCATTGGACCGGGCTCGGAGAGAGATCTGGATCCCAACCTGGCCCAGCGTCTACCCACGCCGCCCGGGCCACCGTTTGCCACTTCAGGGTGGGTTTGACAGAGTCCAACTGTCGGTCCGGGCCTGGCGTGGCCAAAGTGCCACTAGTCACGCGGACGGAACAAAGTGTTGCGTCGCTGTGCCAAAGTGTTGTCCTGTTGTGACAGTGGAGGTCGTTTCTGAAATGATTAGATTAGATTCGATGAATTGTTTGTTAAACTGCTTATGAATGTCTATGATGTGTGTTTGAGATGATGTTTGAATGGCAAGATGTGATGTAAACACGAAACCATATGAAAGAGAACTTTGCCACGCCAGAAACCGTTGGACTTTGCAGGTGCCTGATGTGTGCGCCAAGCCGCTGGAAGCGTTTCGAGGCAGAGAAAAAGACCGAGTCAGTGACCGTCAGTGATTCCCTTTGCTCCTAGTAGCCTTCTTGTTCCTACTAGTAAGGCCAGGAGCCCC